GAATTCCCGACCGTAGCTGCTACCTTGACGTGGTGGTCGGGCTTGCCTATCGTGATGACCCAACCGAGCTATATTGGCTGGAACACATGTTCCTGCAGGTTCTACCATGCCAGGCAGGTCGATTGGAGAACGTTAAGACTAAAAGCAGCAACTCAAGGTCTGAGGGCGAAGTCGTACTGCTGACTGTACAGAGGTGTGACAGCAGTAAGGTGTTTCCCTCGGACAATCAGCATCTGCAGCGATGCTGCCTTCTCACAAGGAAGGAAGGGGTTAGAAAAGGTTGACCCTAAAAATGTCACACCTCACCTTACCCCACGGATTTCCGTCTCCGGCGGTAAGGCCCTTTGAAGAACGGAGCTAACACATTAAAAACCTCCCACAAAAAGGCCGTGCGCGACCGGCCTCAAGCAGTTGTCCCTTGGGCTCTGCGGTCACGCACTCAGGTCGCTAAGACCAACACTAATCCGATTTCCTTTTCAGGTCCCTCAAGAAATACCCTTCCACGGTGTGGGCAACCGGGAAGTGATACCAGCCCTCATACCCGTAACAACACACGAGACCAAGTTGGTCACATTCAAATCCTTCCTACACCTCCTAATAACTCTCTTATCTCCACGACTAACCCTTCTCACGTCCCTTTATCACCTCGCCCCGCTAGTGCGAACGATTCGAGTACGCGGAATGTTATTCCTGGTCTCCTGAAACCACGCTCCAAACTACACGTAGGAGCTTTCAACGTCCGAACACTGTGCCAAATAGGACAACAGGCTTCCTTAGCTAAGACTTTAGAATCTCGCTTCATCGGTGTGTGCTGCGTCTCCGAAACGCGCACACAGGATCCTAGTAGTGTCGTTCATTTGACCGCACCATGTCAAAGTAACGAACCAACTCGATTTACGCTTCGTGTATCTGGAAGCTCTGATGCTGCTTCCCGTGGCCTCACTGGCGTAGGTATAGCATTGAGTCCTAGGGCAGAACGAGCTCTCTTAGACTAGATCCTAGTAGGCAGTCGTTTGTGTGCTGTCCGACTAAACGGAACAGTAAGGACTCGAAAAGATAGGGACACTCGTCGTTGCCTCTTCGTCGTCTCTGCCTACTCTCCCACTGACTGCAGCTCAGATGATGTAAAAGATGAGTTTTACAGAAAGCTTTCCGACCTTCTCCGAAAAGACAGACGCTCTGATGTAGTAATAGTGGCTGGTGACTTTAATGCTCAAGTAGGTAAACTAAGCGAAAAGAAAAGACACCTGGGTGGATCTTATGGTGTCGCGGCTCAAAGAACAGATAACGGCCTGTTTCTTGCAAACACTAACTTTAGGCATAAGGAAAAACATCTTTTAACATGGCGACCCCCTAATTCGTCTCAACGCTGGACCCAAATAGATCACATCGCTATCAGCCACCGATGGAGGGACTCGATAGAAGACTGTCGCTGATTCTGGAGCACATGCTTAGACTCAGATCATGCTCTAGTGCGAGCGCGTATTTGTCTACGTCTTACTGGACGTAGGAAACATGCTGCAAGGAAACCCCTTAGGGTCCTACTAAAGGATAGTCAAGCTAAGAGTATATTTCAGGAACATCTAGACAAACAGTTAGACAGCTATGTAACTGACGCCCACCCCGAGGCAGCGTGGAATGACATCCGAAAAGCTGTAGAAACAGCAGTGATGTCTGCAAGTACGGTAAACCATAAGGTTAGGGAGAAACACTGGATCTCAGCTGCATTTACCGCACTGATAGATGCTCGAAAACTCATTCCATCTGGCTCTGAACATGACGAAGAGCGGAGTCAGCTTAAATGTAAGCTGACTAGAAGCCTACGCAAAGATCGTGAATAGTGGTGGGTAGCGAAAGCAAGAGATGGAAAAGACAGTAGCAATAGGTAACAGCAGGCAACTGTTCAGACTTGTTAAGGAAACCGGTATTAGGAACCCAACTGTTAGCGAGACAATCTCAGAGAAAGATGGACATATTATTCATTCTCAATCCAGGAGATTGGATAGATGGGCAGAATACTTTAGGGATCAGTTCAACTGGCCTTCAGCCACACTTCGGTTTCCCACGATCTCCAGTCGACCTGAATCGCAAGTTGATGTAAGTCCTCCGACTCTTTACGAAGTTGAAAAAGCTATAGGAAATCTGAAGCGTGGGAGAGCAGCAGGCCCTGACAGGTTTACCCCTGAGATTTTTAAGGATGGCGGTCCAGTATTAGCAGCGAGATTGACTGAGGTCTTAGGTAGGATCTGGGAACTGGACGTAATCCCATCTGACTGGTCTCAATCACTGATTGTACCAGTCTATAAGAAAGGACAAAAGTCCTCCTGTGACAATCATAGAGGAATTAGTTTGACTAATATAGTGTCTAAAATATTAGCTTCAATAATTCTTCGACGTCTAACCAAAGCTCATGAAGAACAGACTAGAGAAAACCAGGCTGGTTTTCGACCTGGACGTGGTTGTATTGATCAAATATTCACATTACGTCAGATCCTAGAACATAGACACACATTCAGACGCCCCACAATGGTAGTATTTCTCGACCTTAAGACGGCATTTGACTCTGTTGATCGTGAGGTTCTATGGCAGTGTTTGTCACTGAAGGGAGTACCAAAGAAGTACATCAACCTTATAAAGGCTCTTTACTCGAACACAACTGGTCGAGTGAGAGCTTATGGTGAACTGTCATCAGAATTGAATACCTCAAGTGGTGTTCGTCAGGGCTATCCACTCTCTCCATTCTTGTTTAACTTTGTCGTTGACGTCCTTTTAGAGATGACACTTTCCACCTCTGACTTTCCAGGAGTTGAACTTCTACCGGGAGATCCACTTGTTGACTTAGAATATGCCGATGACATAGTTCTATTTGGTGAAGACGCTGACAGAATGCAGAGTCTACTGACCACTCTAAGCAACAATGCAAGCATGTTCGACATGTGATTTTCTCCCTCGAAATGCAAAATGTTGCTACAGGATTGGGTTGCGTCGGCACCCGAACTAGTGATAGGGAGTGAAGTAGTTGAGCGTGTCGACCGCTTCACTTATCTTGGAAGTCTCATCAGCCCTTGTGGTTTGGTGTGTGAGGAAATCTCAGCACGGATACAAAAGGCTCGACTAGCTTTTGCCAACTTGCGTCATTTGTGGCGTAGGCGAGATATCCGTCTATCAAACAAAGGACGTGTTTACTGCGCAGCAGTTCGTTCCGTCCTACTTTATGGCAGTGAAACATGGCCAGTAAGAGTAGAGGATATTCGTAGGTTACTAGTATTTGACCATAGGTGTCTTCGAAACATTGCTCGTATATCCTGGGACCACCGAGTAAGTAACTCAGTTGTTAGGAAACGGGTACTAGGTTAGGATGGAAAATTAATTGATGAAGTAGTGAAACTTAATCAGTTGAGATGGCTAGGACATGTGTTGCGCATGCCTGACCACCGACTGCCCCGACGCGCAGTGTTTTATGGTGTACGAATAGGTTGGAAGAAAGCTAGAGGCGGCCAGACCAAAACATGGCACAAATCCATGAAGTCTCTGACAAGTGGACTGAGTCATGTTGGTAGGTGTAGACTACCTGGTTGGGGACCGCGAGATGATAGCAACTGATGGTTACAGACCTTGAATGACATGGCTCAAAATCGTTTGCAATGGCGCAGGTGCATCCACTGTCTGTGTTCTCTCAAACTCTAATCTTCTGAATTCTTCATGTCCTTTATTTTATTTCCCAATTTATTCCACTGGACTATACTCCTTTAATAACATCATCAAACCTTCATGTCCCTTATCTCTACTTATACTTTCAGTACCTCTACCACTATGGGATTTGAATCGATAACTGAATCTCTGTGCTAATGTGGTATGGCAACTCGAACTGATGTACGTACGTACGAAGTTCCACGTTGTTACTGACTGACTGACTATAGCAGAATTCCAGGAGGCAAGGATGTTTCAGAAAAAACAGCTTGTATTGACCACTAAGACAACGGAACTCACACCAAACCAAGAAACAAGCGACTACTTAAAGAAACGCAAACTACAGAATTTATTTCCCATCAAAACGCATGTGATTGACGATGCTGGAAACGGTTAGAGGAGGGGGAATCACCACTCATGATGGTAATTGTAGTAGTTTGTTTCGACTAACAATCAACAGTACGCAGTTGCACCTTATTACTAACTGCGACTCACGATCCCTCTCTTGGTTGAAGTTTTAGGAACTACTACAAAACATGGAAGTAATCACAAGAAAGGAACTAAAAACAATGTAATTTGAACTATGCTCTGGTATCCAGATTTTTGTAATATCGTTCGATCATCGCAGCTGTCACTGATACCAAGCTGATGTACAGACATGCCATTAGGTATAGCGAAGCTAAAGGTTTATTTGGAATATCCCTAGCATGCAACAAAATTAAACTGGTTGCTGATTTAGATAACCTAAACCTTAAAATATGACATTATGACACGCAACGCAGTCACTTGACTGTTCAAATCTTTATAATAAATGCTAACATGTTACTCCTACCACCTACACCAAAAATGACATTACTTATACTATGACTGTATTAGTGAACGGGAATAGTTTAGTTCCAAAACTAGTACTTACGTACTTTACCTCCAAGCTTGAATTACCACTTGCTAAACGGGGATACTGCGCTAGTGATCATAGTAATTTACTTATCACTACCAAGAGACCCCACCATTTTGCCTCATATTTAACTAATCAACAGTTGTCACAATTCCAGTAAGCATGAATTATTTTAAGTTGATATCAAGTGAAAAGTCCTAAAGGACAGATATCTAAATATGTCTAATCCAACGTGCTTATCGATAATCACTACGTTATTTGGTCAATAACTAACAATTGGCAAACGGACTTTTCTGAGAGACTATTAAGATTGACGACAGTAAATATTAAAACTAGCTGTAATACACAAGCCCTTACTTCGTGCTCATTAAAACTATGCGGACACAGTTTAAGTAATGAAAGCAGTAGAACATTGTTTCCGTAACAAATTTTTATTCACTTATTTCTTTCGAGATACACCAACTGTTCGTCCACGTCGTCCAGTTGTTCTTGTGTGTTGACCACGAACTCGCAATCTAAAATTACAATAACAACATATGAATAATGAAGAGTAGGTATTATTTATGCATGTAAGTACATTGACTAAAGGCTAAGATGAGACCAAGTCAGGACGCACTACATGCATCGATGAAAACAGTGCGAAACCTATTCTGACTATTCTGATAACCACTTAAACTTTGTGGGCTTGTCTACTGTGGTGACTCAAGCCAACTACACTAACAAGAGAACTAATTTGACATCCTGAAAAGTTCAACAGAAACAATGGACCGAGCATTGACATTAAAAGTTACAGGTTTTAGGCGCGAGTCAAGTTACTCGGATTGTTGTACATGTGGCAGGAAATTTGTTGTGAACAGTTATCATCACTCTTTACATAGTGGGTTGAAGGATGGTTTTGTACATAGAACGACTACCAACAACTAGAAGTTCATGTGCAAGAATAATAATAAGTTAATATGATCTAACCAATCAATAAAAATAAAAATTTACGACTCAGATAATAACACACTGATAATAATTTCATAACGTCTATCCTATGTTGTAAGTGTAAGCTTAGTGTTTCAAACATTGAGTACAGATGATCGATGACATGTCAAGGCATCTTAATTAGCGTCTAGCATAACAGTTAGAAACAACCAATAAAGTCCACACAACCAGACTAGCCTTAAACCGAATGTTCAGATGAGACCATTATTATCTATCAGAAGAGGTGGCGAAAAACGCCCTGTAAACCAGGATCAAGACATGTTCAAAGACTTCGAGATGAAATAACGAACATAAGGTGACTCATCGGTAAACATTGTGAACCAATAAGAACTACACAGAAATAATTTCCGCTAACGATATATGCCATCGCACATGTCCTATTTCCAAACGTCCGAGAAAATGCTTGGCACAAACAAACCATGCCTAATTGCATCACATCCATGACAAAACTCAACAGTTCATTGAAGTGAATGATGTCCCGAAAAAACGTTCCAATATAACAATGATGGTTAAACCACTTATTTACGTACCCCCAATAGTGACGTATACCCCGATGAGATCTTATCCTTTTTAATCGCTCAAGATCTTCACGCAGCTTAGTTTCCAAAGCACCAGACATCAATTGTGAGTGTTTGCCATCATCGACATCTTTCTGTCTGTTTAGAAACCAATCAGGGATCTTATACTGCCTTGGATTACTCATAACTGTTACAAGCTTTTCAACCTCATCTTCAGTTAGTTCACCAGCACGCTTGTTAAGGTCGATATCAGCTTTTTTACATACTACGTTGGCATAGCGTCGGCCAACACCTTTAATTGAAGTTATGGCATACATTATTTTCAGTTGACCATCAATATTCGTATTCATAACACGAAGAATGTGCTGGAACTTTTCTGGTAGCATAAGATCCTAAACAAAATGCATTAAAGAAACAAAATGACACTAACCATCGTGGTTGGCGAATTTGATCAATTATCCCGGTTACAGTGAGACGACAAATAACCGCCGCTTTGATCTTATATGAACAGCTTTAAACACGCAGTGTCGATAGATTTCAAGATGCGTAACTGAAGAAACCTGTTCTACTTCATGACCTTCCATTAATTACTTTGGGTAGGCTCAAAATATTCTTATACTTTTACAATGACGATATAAACAATATATCTTCATACCTTAGGTGGCTTGGATGTAATCGTTAAAAATTGAATGGAAAGTCTAACTGGCAAGTTGGTCGAAACTTTCTTTTAAAGTCATCTATGTAGGGCTTGTCACACTAACATAAGTCTTTTTAACATGGGAAATCAAAACACCTAGACACTTTTCAATAAATGACAATTCACTAAGTTATATACGTATTTTGCAACACACTACAGATGAAATACTTGTGGTTTTTAGAATTTGGAAGCAAGTCATTTGTTAACTGCCGAACACTGAAGTCCAGTCATGCTCTCCTGTAGTCTCAGTTTATTATCCTGGTTTCTAAATATTCCCTAAAGCTCAATATCACTTGCGAATACCATTAGACAACTTGACACATCATGAATGCTATTGTGGGGTTCAAGAAAGATCTGAAATTTGGCTAAGTAGATGAAATAGAAGATCGGTATATGTGTGCAGCCAGAATAAATCTTCCTCAGACGAAATCCAGAAGATGGAGGCTAAGAATGTAGTATTTTAAATGTCGTGTTTCAAATCACATCACCACCGCTTCTTTGTCTTGTAGAGATGGTGGATGTGGTTAAACTTGCACTTGAGAACCATAACAATATACCATGGTTTGTCTTTCAATAGGCGAAACAAACTATGAGATCAAATATGTGTTTTTCGTGATTAAATCTTATCTTGTGCTTCTTCTCCAAGGTATACCACATTGTAAACAATGATGCTTGGATGGCAAATATTTCATGTTCTTGCTTTTCGAGAGGAATGTGGTGGCAACTAAACTCCTGAAACAAAGTTTTATAAGTCATTCACATTGATTTTGGCCTCCTTAATTCTACTGTGACAACCCTGATTAAAGGCTCTTGGTCAAGCGGTCATCCCAGACTACATGTGGATACGCCGTGCTGAATATCTCATACAACAACTGGTCAGCTAAGATTACATAAACGTTGACATAACTACTATAATCCAAATATCTCCCTTCATCCTTTCACTGTCGACTTCTGGCTCAACTAACTTTTAGGATTCTTGTGCAAGAAGAGGTCTTGGATGACAGCATTATTGAGCGCTGAATATATGTGACATCTCGGAGAAAATAATATATTTTGTTTAAAGGAGGGCGGTCCATTTCATTTTTTACTGACGTTGATACTCCACATAGAGCTATGCTTTCCCTTCACAATTATCCTTTTTGCATGGTCGGTACTTCTACTATTCATTACATTAAAGTGAAGACGTTCCTAGTGATCAGAAAATAATGAATGGTTTCACACGAACCTCTTCGAAACGATTAAGTACCAAAAACCTTGATGCGGTTGAACATCTCTTAAACTTTTGATAACGCTGCTGTGCTAACATGTTTTCATTTTCCGATCAATTGGTCGCCTAATCTTTTGTCAGGACAATGAAATATTTTCCGTACAACTTATTGCACACGTAGGTTGCGGTTTCGATGTCACTTCACACTCGATCCCTGTAAATCGTTCTCCTTTCTAAAGTGTTCTTCGTCTGTTATTTCCTGAAAGTTTACTAAAATTTAGTACTGTGGTGCGTAAAACAATAATGGTCACTTTTGTGATCAGTATCCAGTATTTTGACTAATTAGTGACCCACCTAGCACATTCCACGCGACGAGAACTTATGGAGCTCAAACTAACTAAAAATTCCACAACTAGAGGTACATACCTAGTGACGAAGTTATTAGTTGTCCATACTGCTTTTCAGAATACAGAAGAATGCTAAGGAAAGCCTGTTTATATATTTTATATCCGTTACTCAGCGGTTTTCCCGATCCTCTATGAAAGGTGGGGTGTGTGAGTAGGCTGATTTCAATTTAGCTTGTCGAAAATATTTAGGGAAGACAGATCAATTTCGGATCGTTCTGACCATGTTCACTCTGATCTCGTGAGTTCTACAACAAAATTGATTGACTACGTGTACATATTTACGCAAGTTAGTTATTTCATACGATTTTCGAAAGCCATGCTTTACGATGATAACATTGTTACAACCAATGGCCACATCTTCGTTGTACGATAAGCCCTTTAATAATAGCGATTGCTCATAGGAGCTAATCAGAACGTGAAGCACTCATGCTAGCTAAATATCCGTAAAAACAAACCACTGTGAATAAACTAATGTCACGGTACGGTGACCTCAGTCACGCAAACCTCTTGTTACTCTCAGGAATATTACAATGAGTGAACACAGTCTCACCATCTTTTATACTTGCTCAAACCTAATTTCGTTCGAACACTAACACTTTTATCCAGTCCTACATAAGGTTTATTTCAATATAAGGTTGCCTTTAATACGGCTGACAACCCATTTTACTTTTTTCTCCAACACAAAGACAACATTACTAATGTATAGTGCGATATCTTCTCGAGATACTGGTATAACTTTTGATTTCCTGGGACAAACAATAAGAACAATTCAATAAAATATACTGTCGCTGCCCGTTAACACCAAACATATAGTTAAGTGACGAACCTTTTGTACTTTAGACGAAACTGAATCGAGAAAACAATAAAGGTACAAATGGAGGCATTGTAACGACTGAAATTGAAGATCTAATATTAACGCAGAGCTAACGAACCCAAGTTCGTTTAAACACAACAAGAACAGTAAGGTTTGTAGAATAATAACAAATTCGTTTTATTTAGCAGTTTCTTATCAGCTGCATACAATCTAAGATCACAACTTTTAACACACTCTAGTTTGTGAAGTTTGAATGGACTTACGTAACCAAAATCATAGTAACCAGAAGAATAAGGATACAAAGTGTATGAATAAACATAGTGAATATCGATATGCATTTACATGTTAGGAATTGATGATTCAGAGCATACGCAAAGGTAATTGAATTAGTAAGTAACTGAGAGTAGTTCCAAAAGCTGTTAAGAATACCATAGTTACCTGGCTTGTCTCAAAAGGCACAGTTTATGCCATACGGTCGAAAGTTTCTCTAGCACAGCAAATAATAATAATTTATTCTCAAATAACATTTTGTTACATGAGGCATGCCAGTTTACAGGCAAGATCAAATTGTTACAAATGATACAATTACTCAGCTGGGTCGATAATTTATAAGATATGAATGTAGAATGGTTTTAGTCAATATCACAGTTGGCGCGCTTCATGAAAGTTGCGTTGCGACGTGCAACTGAGGGTCGATGATAGATTCATGTGCAGTTGAGGGCCTCTAGAATATTTGAGTCTTTAAGGATGGTGCAGGACCAAGTCACCCGTTCCGTATCTCAAGGGATCTGAAAAATGGTGCAAGAAAAGACAAAAGTAGGACGAGAAGCAGAGCAGACAATGTTCATGCAGAAATAGTTAAAGTATGACTAATCAGTCTCATTCTCTTTTATTAAAGTATTTAGTAAGCAGGAGCATCCTAATAAGTTAAAGAAAATAAGTGCAAACAAGGTGTGAGTGGATAAATAACTGACAAATGGATGTGGTTCAGAAAAAAACTGAGAGTATGGGGATATGTGTAGTTATAAAATAAGGTGTTAAAAACAGTGTTATGATACACGAATGACTGTATCTCTTTTTTCATCGACGCTATTTGAGCCTCTTTTAGATTTTATTGGGTCTTGTTAGGCTTCTTTTTTTATCGAATTGTCTAGTTTGTTTGTAATAGGATTACTGGGTAGGAAGTGAAACAAATTCAACTTTCGAAACACGATATAATGAAGTATTTAGCATGAAAAATCAGCATCAATACCACTAGTTCGTGACATCCCACTAGACCATAAGTAGCCGTAATTCAACAAAATGTTCTGCTCTACAGACATGGTTGGATTGAAGTTGTCTCCCCGCCATCATGTTTGCTGGTCAGTAACGTTACCCTCCCTCCTTTTGTGATGTTAGGCTCTCTTACGTTTGTGATAAGTATACATACATACTCCGCCTGGAGTCCCTTTCGGGGGGCTACTGCCGGTCCCAAGCCCGGATAAAGGAGGAGGGTTGGGCATGGGGTTAGCGACCCCATCCCGTAGAAAACTAACTCGCTAAAAAAACGCTAACCAGAAAAAATTATTCGAACCATTTAAACCCTACCCTGGGAGTCAGGAGGACTTCGTTTAGAAGAATTATGACGCCTCATGATGAAAGCCGAGTTTCTTCGGAAGTCACGAGGCCGATGCCCCTTCTGACAACCAGAGCAACCAACCATACTGCTTTAATCAAAGCATATGGTTGGAATACACTGTCTCTACTAGTTCCATGTTACAAGCAAATCAGATAGTTAAAGCGTTTGTATTATGGGTTAGATGTCCATTTAGTGTATCACACTGCTATGAAGATAACTAATGGTGAAAGATAAAAAAGGTTAGAATATATGTGGTTTAAAGATAGTAGGACTAATAGCAAATCAAATCATATGAAAGAGTATAAAATTGTAAAATTTTTAGGGTAAGAAAAATAAACCATTGAACAACTCACAAGACTTTATGATCAATTTTGAGCTTCGTATGATCAATCATAGTAGATCAGCATCCATAAGATTAGTGAGTTATCTGTTTACTTGCAATAGAAAAAAAGACATGACACTTAGGAAGAAAAATGTATATTTGACCATTAGAGAGATTCGGGAACTGAAAGTGAGGGTTAGAATCATTAGGCCTTGATTAATGGACAATGAATAATAGGAAACGGCAAACCATATGTCCTGTAACTTAGTTGTATTCATATTAGTAATAGTTAAGTACATGTTTGGTGTCTGATAGTCAATAAAACTACTCCCATAAACGTTGGATGAAGTGTCTATCTACAAGGATTCTAGAAACAGTTTCCAGAGGACCAAGTATAATAGGATTGAGTGAAAACAGCTGGACTAAGATGATATTGGTACTGGGTAAATAACACAATTAAATTTCTTTGTAGTCAAACTGGATTTACATAACAACACTGGGTATAGAATATCCAGCTATTGTGATATTTACGTCTAAGATGGGTATTGGTCATGGTATTCATGATATAGGACTAATGTATGAATGTACACTAATGTTATGTAGGTGGCTAGCCAAGATCTA